TGACATAAGTAAAAGTAAAAAAGTAAGTAAAGCTATTCGTGTAACAGGCCGTGGGGGCCCATAGCATTGTGAGACGTCGAGGCACCCACATTTTCTAGCAATCGGCTCATAGATGGCGGCAAGGCTGTCAGCCCTACGCCCCGGCCGCCCTTTATCCCCAAGAATATTCCTGGTACTCATTTCTGTTAGAAGCTGAGTCGACCCCAGGGCCACAGCGCGGCTGGAAGGATTAGGTCAATTGAAAAGATCCAGTGATCTCATCGGGACTTGAGCCCGCCATCTTCCGGCTTGTAGCATAGTGCTTCAACCAACTACGCTACCGCGTGCCCCTTAAGGTTACATAAGTATCAGATGGAAAGTTTTATACTCAGTTTACTAAATGTAGATGTTTCGGAAACGAAAAGATGTTCACGTCATAGAAACGACATAACCATAATCGTTTGGTTTGGCCGGAGAAAGCTTGTATGTTTACTTGTTTCCTTCGTTTTCTGACCCAGTTCTCGACGCATGTCGTGTGAAATAAAATAGAGCGATTGATAGGCTATTTAAAATAACCGTGAAATGTCTTTAAAAGATTCGAAAGAATATTTGACAATTCCTATGTGTAGCTGCTGTTTCCATTGATCCGTTGTTGTATGTGGGTTTAACACCGTGCAGCTCGGCGAGAGACTGATGTTACGAAGAATATATCGTCTCCATCTTCAGGGTCGAATAGTAAGCCACTTACGAAACTAGCAGAAGCAGGTGACAACATTCTTCTTTTGCTTACCCTTCGACCCCGAAGATGGGAGCGATATGTTCCGCCTAAACGTCGGGCTGTCTCTGAGCTACACGCGTTAAACCCAGAAGATTACACTTCTGAATTCAGTTTACACCGTGTGGAAGGTTGCACCCAGTAACTGATGTGCGTATTAGTGGCTTCGGACTCTGTGGTCCGGTTATGGATCACTGCACTATGCTGGGCGGACGAGCTTAACTCGCCACTGCCCCAAATTTGTTTGCTACGTATCTGTAAATTTATGAGCTTATTTTTGTGTGCATTACTTTGCAATTGCGTATATCCGAGAGTAACGTGAATGAAATACTGCGGCATTTTGAGCCTATTGTGACTTGTATATTGTAACTGGCTGCAGACGTGCAGAATGCGAAATTATGTTGCAGCTAGGGTGTTGTGCTCGGAAAAAGAATGTAGGTCATATTCATTGGTTGCTTGTAGCTGACAAAAGTGGCTTTTTACATTCAAAGCGATCCGCACGTTGTACAAGTTGTACACGGTTCATCCACCGCCCCGACACGACGGGGGCATGCGGGGACATTTGGCTGCTGGTACTGTATGATACAGATTTGCAAGCAACAGTGGGACAAAGGGGTGCTGTGGCAACACGAGGTCCCGAAGTAGAGCCATTAGGTACGCTTTTTATAAGCTCAGACGTGCTTGGGGATGTGTCGTGTTTTTTTTTTATTTATATGAAGGTCTGTTCATGCCGAATTTTTCATTGGAGTGGATAATAAAACTCTTGCTTCCTATTTGAGAGGTTCTGGGTTCAAATATCGGCCTGGAGATCGACTGTCATGAGGTTTTTATGGTTTTTGTCAGTCCCTCCAAACAAATTTCGGGGTAATATATCAGATTAGGCCGCGACCGCTTCCTTTCGCATCCCTTCCAATTCATTATTCGCATCTCCTCGTACCATTCAACAGATAACGACAGTGCCGCTAGATGAACCGCGAACAAGGCCAGTTATTCTGCAGAACTAGCAGTGCGGGAGGCTTATACATGTATGTCTGCATCACTTCAAGATTAGATACAGTTCGATTAATTTTACTTACGTCATCTTTTTTTCTTTAAATTCCCTCAAAGCCTCTTTAATCTCCCTCTTCGTCGAACCAGTGCACCTTCTTTCTGTGCATTTTCTGGCACGTCGCCTTGACTCCGGCCATCTTCACCAAAAGGTATAATTGCGTACACTGCCATCCTTATTGCCCTTTTTGAAGTAAAGTGTCATTCCGTGCATACAAATTTCGCTTGTGCAAAAGCTAACGTTATCCCTGGGGTTAGTTAATTAAGCACCAATCCGTGTGGATGTATTGGTGACTGGAGGTATAGCTTCACGCATTCTTAACGTAGGCAGTGGTTGGAGATATGTGGTCAGCTTCACGCCGTTGCTGCTTTTCCTCCGGGGTGCAGCGACTGGTACCCGTTGTGTAGGAGGCTGTGTTCCAGGACCGATTTGGACGCCGTGGAGAAGAGATCGAACCTCGATTCTTCGGTCCTCCAGTCCATAGCCTGTTTTGTATACCGACTGAGCTATCCGGCCATCACAGCTAATTTTGTGTTGTTCATCGTTTAACGCCACTCGTTTCTGAACCCCTGTTGCCCCTGCCACTTAAGCAGAATTCGATACCGTTGCAACAGACGGTTTTGTGAACAGTCGACAATTATGCCCTTAGCAGTAGGTATGTTATTGCGGTTGTCAACTGTTCATATTTTCGTTGTAGATTTTCCTCGTGACAGAACGATTACCGTGAACATACGAAGCCAAATGTTGTCTTGCCGAAGGAAGCGCTCTTGGTACTTTTGTACAAGTCGAGATTGTTATCGGTTAGCCGTGTGCACTTCCTCATCTAATTGGGCGACAGGTAAAATATGATGTACCAGTTTTCTGAGTTAGACCTATGCCAGTAGGCAGTGCCACACTCCGGACAACCGTCGTAGTCTCGTAGCTACCACGTTATACCGGTAACAGCCCTTACAACATTTTTATCGTAGCGAATTTCTTATTTCATTTTTGGCGCATATTGCGTTACCCGGCGCGAACCGCGAACAGAACACACACTTGAACGGTTCGTCTGTTGTAATCTGCGCGTTCGTTGCCGCGGTAATGCGTATTTAGCAACTTGTTACCTGGTAACGATTCCTTCGTGCTGTCATAAAGAAAACTTAACCGTTGCTCATCAACGGACGTCTGGCTCTGGCTCCGCTCTTCCGGCTTTTAGGCGTCATGTCACAATATTTATGGACAACAAACAAGCAAGATTGTGCACAAGTAACTGGAAAGGGTTGAAGAGTAATGGTAGTGGCCTGTTTTAAAATAAGGTACGGTAAGGCGTGCACTGTATTTGTGTTCGAATAGTACTTAGTTCCACTGTGGCGCCGTTGGACATTATCCATCGTCCCGTTTACATTTCAAAACAACGTTTCGGAGACTGGATAATGACCAGACACGTAATATTTTTACTAATGGACCATCATTACAAACTTTTAGATCTTAACCACTGAGGTTGTTTGTGGCTTTCCACAATCCTTCCAAGCTAATAATGGAATGCTGTTTAGAAATGCATCGTATAAAATCCTTTCCAATTCATTTTAAAGATGAGTTTACTTAGAGATACACTTTAGCATAGTTGGTTGAGGCACTGTGCTACAAGCCGGAAGGTCGTGGGTTTGATTTCCGATGAGGCCATTGGATTTTTCAATTGACCTAAGCCTTCCAGTCGCACTGTGGCCTTGGGCTCGATTGAGCCTCTAAGAGAAATGAGTACCAGGAATCATCCTGGGAGTAAAGTGCGGCCGGCGAGTAAGGGTGACAATCTCACCGCCATTGTGAGCCGTCCGTCTAGAAAATGTGGGAGCCTCGACGTCTCACGACCCTATGGACCTCCACGGCCTGTTACAGGGACAACTTTACCTTTTTACAAGTATACTTACTCTCTCGATGTTACATAATCTCATAGATGGTAGAACGTTGTTAAATAAGCTACTGTTGTCTGGTGTCACTCGGTTCACATTTGTGGAATAGCGTTGAAACAAGTGTGAGGCGCAAATGCCTTCCGTGTAGCTGCAGTATTCCTGCACGTCCAAGGCATGGCTCCTACACGCACAAATGAAGATGCCGCGTCTGTTCTCAGTGTGTGTGTGCGTCAGGAGGATTCAGACGTTTAAGGTAGCTCACACGCTTAATATTCCGGCCACGTCCTGTAACTTACGAGAGGGAAGGAAGCATTCTTAACCTCCTTTACACACGGTCTCAAAATGCTTAGAGGTGGGGCAAAGTGGGATGGGCCACATTAGTACCCTGTGCGTGGTCACGGCAACAGTCTATCTCCATATGAAGAGCATATACCAGCACCATCAGCTTCCAGGCGGAACTTGTGACTTGCGGCCCAGGATTAGTCGACCGTCTCTTCCTTAGTCTAGGTGTACAGATATGTACCTAATTGACGTGATAATTGCTTTCCTGGGAAACGTGAAACGTATATGTGCGTGCCTGTGTGTGTACTTTGATAGACGCACTGTTTAACTTGGTGATTACGTTAGGGAACGGATGAGTTTGTTTTTGAATTGTAAACTTAGTAGCTGATATGGGAAAGACATTACAATTCATGAATTAGCGTTAAAATGTTCTGAAATGACTCAAGTTCTCCGAGTATTGTATTAAATTATGGCTCTGCAGGCCTTTATTGGGTTTTGGCCACCTTTTCAGTTTCTTAATCTATATACAGGCGTTAGGACTCCTTGGACGGGGGTCAGCCTGTCGCTAGGCCACTACTTAGACACAGAAGAACACGAACACAGAATAAACGCACACAGACATCTATGCCTTGAGTGGGGTTGGAACCCGCGACCCCAGTGTTCGACTGGGCAAAGACAGTGATGCCTTAGACCGCGCGGCCGGCCACTGTGATGGGATGGAGGTACTGAGCAAGGGTTTTGTGCAGTTTAGGAGCTTCCTGTCAGAATGAGACGCATGCGGATGCAGGAAGACGTGTAAATGGGGTATACCCGTACTGTGGCGTGAGATGTTAATCCATTTTTATTTGCAGTATTACAATTTCACATGTAAAGCCCTTAAAGTGTTCCGCTTTATTCGAGTGCACCCTTCGCTCTTCGTAAGTTTCCCATTAGCTCAGTTGGTATAGTGATCAGTCTACGGGCTGGACGAGCGAGAAATCGCGGTTTCACTTACCGGTAGGGATATCATATGTTTTCTTATTTACAGCTTCCAAACAGACTCTGGAGCTCAGCCAACCTTGTGTCCCGTGGGTGCCGTGCGCTGACTCCGTCTGGTACCGATGGTAAGAAGAATACGTAGAGCTGTATCCTCATTCCGCCATACGCCTTTTTGTCATGATTCTTAATTAGCACAGGACAATTTACTTTTATTTATTCTCCTACTTCTGTTTAATAGGCGTATAGACTATACTACAAGCCGGAAGGTCGTGGCTTCGATTCCCAATGAGGGCATTGGATTTTTCAATTGACCTATGCTCTATGGCCCTGGGTTCAACTCTGCCTCTAACAGAAATGAATACCATGAATCTTCCTGGGTGTAAAGGGCGGCTGGAGCGTAAGGCTGACCACCTCACCACCACCTGTGAGCAGATTGTCTAGAAAATGTGGGAACCTCGACGTCTCACAACCCTATGGACCTTCATGGCATGTCACATGGACAGCTTTACCTTTTTATAGTTTTCGCTACCGTGCAGCAGCAACAGACAGCCATCGCTGGGATGTCTGCGTTCTGACCCATCTGACTTTGCCGCATTAGCCAGTTCTGTTTCTTGCTGTTGAACAGGATGGGGCAGCTGAGAGGGTACGACGACACTGTCAAGTAAGCTTATGGTGTCTGTACATGTTGCTCAAACTTCCGCTGTTAAATTTCTCTCGCAGAGGCGATTAACAACAGGAGAAGACAGTTTAGATAGGCCTTTACATAGTTCAGCGTTCTCTGTACCTAGAAGGATGGCACTTCGAAGCCAAATGGAGGGACAAAAGTAATAAACTAATATCATATTAATGAAAAAGCATGACAACACCACGCGGTGGTTACAGCTGATGTGAAGAACGGAGGTCTACTTTGTATTGTAGTGAACAGGATTAATATGATGAACACAGAAGAATGCTAATTTACAAAATGAGAGCCGGGAGCTGCACAGGAGAAACTACGAGTAGGTTCATTACCCTATGTAATGGGCATTTATTCTGCTGTTTCGCTTAGTGGGGGGTGGAGTCCAACTGGGTCCACTCGGCGCGGCAGCCACTGATCGGCCTATTGTATCTGCCCCGGGTGATTATGATGATGGAGAATTTGGTGGAATGAAGATTTGCAGGGGAAATCGAAGTACTCGGAGAAAACCCGCCCCAGCGCCACTTTGTCCACCACAAATCCCACTTGACCAGACCCGGAATCGAACCCGGGCCGCCGTGGTGGGAAGCCAGCGACTAACCGCACGAGCTATGGCGCGGCCTATTCTGCTGTTAGTATTGTGTGTTAACAAAGTAATGAGAGTAATTTTATAGAGCGAGAACTGGCAACACTGCGGCGCCGAGACCGTTACGAGATGACAGCTACGTTCCTCCTTTACCTTCAGTCCAAGTTCGAACTGCTGGCACGAACACGTGTGGCCCTGTTGTGTCTGATACAGCGCCACAGAAACGGAGAATAACAATCTCAAGCGACGTGTCAAGCTGCGGGACGGCGCTACCGACACGTACGAAAAGATTCGCAAAGCGTTTCGTAACGTGCTCAAATATTTCGGTGGCACAGGGACTTTGTAAACGGCGATGTGGACACCCAGTCTCCATGAGAACAGGCACAAACCTCGGCCTCTGAGGGCTACCATTCGTCAAGATGGACGTTTGACAATTGGAATGATTAAGGACTGCAGGGCCCAGCAAGCGGTTGCACTAGAGCTGAACACGAGAACAGCGTGTGCAAAGACGGTTCCAAGAAACCGGAATGAGGATCAGAAAGTTCGTTGAAACGAAATGTCAGTAGAAATGCTGGAACGGCTCGAAACTGAACCAGGGAACCAAGAGGCAGAGTGAGGAGCGGCACACGCCAGTCTCCAAAACATGAGCAAATACAAAATCAAGGCAATGTCATCATTTTGTTTCGAATCTCGCTGTGTAGTTCGTAAAGAATGTGTACCTCCTGGTGTAACAGTGAATGAGCCCTGGAGGGCGATGCGAATGGAATGGAAATTGCAGACGAGTGGATCCGTCAGCTTCTTCACCAGGCCAACGCGCCCGCACACACTGCACTGTCAGTTCCTGAATTTCTGGAGAAAGAGTGCATGCCCGTGCTTCCAGTTTGTCACCTTGTGATTTCTGCTTGTTCTCAGAATTAAACTCGGGAGTCAAGGGCTGTTATTTTCAAACACTTGAGAGCGTTCAGAGGGCTGTAACGAAGGCCACCGAGAGCCTTACAGAAGCTGCCTTCCAATCAGCTACGAGGCATGGGAGTTTCGCTGGGCCATGTGTGTTGCATCAGAGGGATGCTGTTTTGAAGGGGACAATGTTGATTTGGACGAATAATTGAATAATTGATTTTGTAGAAAATTAATCTCATTTCTTTGTTAACACGCCTCGTGAGTGGTTAATAATTGTTATAGGGCTTGAGGTTCTCACAGCGGCGGTTATGAAGAGCTCTTTCTTCTGGGATTTGACGCCGTGCCAAGTTTCAACTGACTGCACTGTGTTTATTCCAGAAGCCATAACTCATCAGTAATTGCATTTACTTATTTTCCGTCTCCGACGTGTAACTTAATGATGTGTGTAAGTAACACTGGATGTTGGCAAAGAGATACACTCGCCAGGCCACTTCTGTGGGCACTACTTGCTCACGAGTTTCAGTACCCGAGGTGCCTGTCCTCCCGCACCAATTTCTTACGGCTCGCGGGTGTAGCTCGTGTATTACTTTACTTCACTGTATTTTCAGTCAAGATCTAAAAGTTTGTGACGATGCTATATCATTACAATTGCTGATTTTTTGGACATTATCCATTGTCCTATTTTGTTATTTCAAAACAACGTTTCGGAGACTAGATTCTGTCTCCGTCTTCAGGTAAAAGGCTTTCGGATATAGGGACTAACTGTAACGGTTGGAACAGAAACAAGAGTCCAGTCTCTGGAACGTAAATAATAAAAAAGAAACAGGGCGATGGTTAATATCCATAAAATCAGTATTTGTATACTTTCAGTTGCCAAGGTAACAGACCTGTAGCGTCAAGTGATAGGTTGATTACTGAATGGTAGATTGAAGGGATGCGCACGAAATATATGGTTGCATAATTTTAAGGTGTTGCCTCAGAACTTGCCTGGAAGCAATGATGAATTCTGCGATCTTCGGACCGAGATTCGAACCCGACACCTAAACACGAAACAGAAGTTCCATATATGGTAATTTAATAATAAATGAAATCTAACCCCAAATGGTTTCTTCTTTTAACTAGATCGATGTTTATTAAACGACTCCAGTTTGGCGTGATTGTCTCATATTCCGGAGACCTGAATAGGGCTCTCGGTAGCGAATTGTGCAGCTCCACACACAGAATTGTATCAAAATACTAACAGCATCGTCAGAATCAGCACGGTCCGCGCTGTCCTATTGCGTAGGCCGTTAGTTCGTCCTTCTTTTGTACCTTCGCCGATCACGGTGGCCGCGCGGTCTAAGGCGTGAACTGTCTTCACTACCTCGAACACTGGGATCGTGGGTTCGAATCCAATTGCAGGCATGGATGTCTGTGTGCAGGTAGCGGCCTTGCGAGGGACTATGTATAGGATTAAGTAACTGAAGAAGCTGCCATGTCCACAAGGGCTGTAGAGCCGTAGATAGACAGGTAATGTGCGTTCGTATCGTGAAGAACCATCATACACAACAGGAAGTTTGTTTCTCAGTTCGGGAACGTCCAGCAATCTAATGCCTAATTGGCAGACTTGTCGAGAGTGCACTAAAATGTTGGATGCGTTGCAAGAATGGCACAGCTTGAGCCTATCTTTCCCATAATGGAACACCTGAACCCGTGCGCCTGCTCTGGGCGTCTCTTGAGCGCTTCTGCTCCGCACCTCACCTTTTGCCAATTAATCTCCTTAACGAGTTCTCCGTCGGACAGAATAGATGGGGCCGTTAAGCTACAAGCAGCAAAAATTGGTGCTTGGGCAGTGTTTTATGAAGTGATTATATAACCCCGGATTTTTCTTTTGCAATCAGCCATTGTGGTTGACTCTCCTGGTATCTCCGGGCGGAATTAGTTCTGCTGATTTGTATTCTAGAGAATCCCTAATCAAATCCGGGCCCTTCCAGGCATTTCCGGGAGCAGGTCACGAGTACGTACTTCGCAACCCCCTCGCTGTCCCACATAATCTCTGCAATCAGGTGAACGGAAAAGCGTATAACAGTCGGACCTTCGGCTGCTTGTGACTGCAGTTGCTACTCGGTCCTGAAGAACTGAGAGGACATGGCTTCTGTTTTGTATTGTGTGGAATATTGTTTTCTGGAACGTGATGCCATGTAGTCTGCTAGAATCTTGCCGATGTTTCGGAGGAACCTGCTACGCTTGAGAATCTCCAATCCGACGAACGAGTAGGGGCTTTGCGTAAAATGCCCTTGTATGAAAGCGCTTCTGATCCGTTGCGTACGTTCCGATTTTGTGAATGCTTATTAAGAGCGACATAAGAATTCAAATATAATTTTATCATACTCCTAAAAATAGGCGCGCATCGCAAAGAACATTCGTTTGTAATTTTTATTTAAAACATTTTCTGTTTCATGTATGTGTGATCGATGCACTCAAATTACCAGTTTTCATTTATTAGAAATCCTTCATGTTTTATCGTCAAGCTTACACAAATGGGTAAACATTTTTGGGGGAAAGTTGAGGTCTTGTAGTCTAGTAGGTGGGTACCAAAAAAGATTCTTCTCTGAAGATGGAGGCAGCAGGTTCCTTCGAATCCCTGGTACTCATCTACCGGAGCACATGGCCGCACATTCCAGAAGACCGAAATTTAGAACTTGGGGTCTACCGCGCAGCTCCAAGACGTGCAAAACTCCTGTGGAATATTGAAGCTTGCACAGTAAGGCACAAACTGTCGGATAACATTTGCATTGTACTCTTACATGCTGGATCTTCTCATTAGAATTTAATGAAATGCATTTCTGAATGGTTTCACACTCAGCTGGAAATTCTGCTTTTTTTACTTACAGCCTTCGTCCTTAGCATTTGATTTCTGTACACAAGCGTGTTACGGCCATGTCCAATGTTTTCATACAACGTTCCTCATGACTCTTGCAACA